CCCCAAAACCCCAAAACCCCAAAACCCCAAAACCCCAGTGCTTTACTAAATTATTGATTAAATTTTCTTCTTTGATTTCCTTTTTCTTCAAGGCCGCTTAGGTCTTACCTTCTTCTTCTTCTTGCTAACTCGGGGCTTCTTAGGGCTGAGATTAAATGAGTCTTTCTCAAGCTTGACTTGTCGCTGAAGCTCCAGCTCATTTTCAAGCTTAATTTCGTTCTCGAGTTTGGTATCTTTCTCTATCTTCATGTGGATATCTTCAAGTCTTCCAGGACAAGTCTTTTTACATTCAAAATTTCCAAGTTGATAAATGGTCTGACGCCAGTTAAGTCATTTCATGCACCTCCGAACGTTTTCAGTGAGGTATTCCTTAAGCTTAGTGAAATCGTTCTTCTGGTTCTGGCTGCAGAATTTTTCAAGATCGTTGACGTCCTTTAAGCTGATGTAGTCCTCGTTTCTGATCCCATCCTGATACTTGTAATTAATGACTGTTCTGATGTTGACACCGATATTTTCATCTTCTCAGAAAGGACATGCATGGGATTCCTTCTTGAGGCATGAAAATAAGAGGTTTCAGTTCGATCACCACAGAAGTAGCCTCTTGCCCTTCTCTACTCTGTTGATCAGGTGAAGAGTATCAAACATGCTGATCTGTTTACTGTCAAGCTGGGAGATCATCACATCTCTGGGCATGTTCCTTCTACATGGTCTAGCTGGGCATCTAAATGGAAAAGTCAATGAGTCTATCTTTTCCATAATATGCTCTTTTAGACACTCCTTGTGGTAAAAATGGGAGCAATTCGTATTATGAATCATTGAATCAGGAGAGTTTTCCTCGTTACATATGAAGCAATGTTTACCTTTATGGTTTTTTGATTTTTTCTTCTTCTTAGCATTATTGCTCTTGTTTCTTCTCCTTTCCATTCCTTTCTTTGCAGCTTTCTCTATTACCTCAATCTGCTTCTTGACCATAAACTTTATTCCGAAAGTGGGGGATCCTTCCCCGTCGTTTAGTTCAAGTTTGATGCTTTCTTCGTCCTCTTGCTTTATCTTATTCTCGCTTGGTGTGAATTTTACTTCGAGATCAGCATTCTTGAGTTCTTCAAAAGCATTAGCATGAATTACCTTCTCTGCAAAGCCTTCATCCTTGACTGGAATTTCTATTTCAGAGGCTTCTCAGATCTTAAGCCTCTTGCCTTGCTCGCTATTAGAGAAGTATGATTCGTCGAACTCTTCATGATGTCCTTGGTTGTACGTATCGATGAAGTCCTTCAAATTCTCCATGCATAAGAACTGGATAATCTTTTCTTCGTCTAGGTAAGTCTCTCTGAACACTTTGTCCCTATCCTTGAGCTTAGTGATGATTTGCTTGATGCTCACCACATCTGGAAGCTCGTTACAGGCTAATATACCTCATGTGAGTATGATAGCACGATTTCAGTCCTTCAGTTCCTCACTTGATTCAACCAAAAGGTTGTACATTTCGTTCTCATAAATGGAATTCATTGCCATTATTGTCATCTAACCTGTCTGGTGAAGACATCCACCTACAAATATTTGAAGTTTTCAACAAATAATACTCTTTTGGGGTTTTGGGGTTTTGGGGTTTTGGGGTTTTGGGG